CACAGCCAATAGCAAGGCAAAAGAAAGAATAGGTGGGGCTGGCAGGCAGAAAGAATATATAGGAGAAATCTGGGAGGAAAGAAGTAGCCAGAGAAGGAAGAGGACATCAGGGGCCAGCCACTCAGCTGTATAGCAAGCCATGGGGTAAGAGTGAGATTTACAGAAGGGAAAAGGAAAAAGCCCAGAGGCATAAGATAGGCAGGATAGTGTAGGTTAAGAAAAGCTGGCAAGGGGCTGGAGAGATGGCTCAGCGGTTAAGAGCACCGGCTGCTCTTCCAGAGGACCTGAGTTCAATTCCCAGCAACCACATGGTGGCTCACAACCATCTGTAATAAGATCTAGTGCACTCTACTGGCCTGTAGATGCACATGCGGGCAGAACACTGTATCCATAATAAATAAACAAATTTGAAAAAAAGCTGGCAAGAGACAAGTCAAGGTAAGGCCGGACATTCATAAGAAAGTATAAGCCTCCTTATGTGATTTATTTGGGAGTTAAGTGGAGGGCCAACAAAAAATACCCACAAACCTAGTTTGCATAATATTAATTAGGTATGTGCTCTTGATATTTTTACCCAAAGAATTAAATATTTGTTTTGTTTTGTTTTTTGTTGTTGTGATGGTTTGTTTTTGTTTTGCTTTTTGTTTTTTAAGACAGGGTTTCTCTGTGTAGCTCTGTTTTGGAAATTGCTCTTTAGACCAGGTTAGCCTCAAACTCAAAGAGATCCACCTGCCTCTGCCTCCCAAGTGATAGTGTTAAAGACGTGCACCACCATTGCCTGGCAAAGAATTAAATCTGAAGATTTGATACTATAGGACAGAGTATCTTCAACATTTTTCAGTGTTTTTGATTGATGGCAATTTTTATTTTATAATCATTAGTGCTATGAACTTCTTTCTGCATAAATGTGTAGTACAAAATGGCAGAAATATGTTGCTCTAGTTAGCTTCCCATTGCTGTGATAAAACACCATGACCAAAAGCAACTTGGGTAGGAAAAGGCTTATTTGGTTTACATATCCTAATCACTGTCTACATGAAGGGAATTCAGGGGAGGAACTCAAGGCAGGAACCTGGAGGCAGAAACTGAAGCAGAGAACATGAATAAATGTTTACTGACCTGTTTCCCATGGCCTGCTCAGCCACTAAGTTGGTTTGAATAGGTACGGTCCCCATAAACTCATGTATTTGAGTGCTAGCTGTTGGAAATTATGGGGTGTGTGTGTGTGTGTGTGTGTGTGTGTGTGTGTATGTATGTAATTTGTTTTAAATAAATTTTCATGTGGCTTATCAGCAAATGTTGACTTGTATACCTATTTTTATTTTATTTATTTGTTTATTTATTTTGTAGAGACAGGGCTTTTCTGTGTAACAGCCCTGGCTGTCCTGGAACTCACTCTGTAGAACAGACTGGCCTCGAACTCACAGAGCTCCACCTGCCTCTGTCTCCTGAGTCCTAGGATTAAAGGCATGTGTCACCACACCCAGCGACGTACTTTTTAGTTTTTCATTATTGGAGGTTGAATCTCACACGTGTTAGGGAAGTGATTTACTGCTGAGTCCTCTTACTACTTTGTTATTTTGAGACAAAGTCCAGGCTGGTCTTGAACAAGCTCTGTAACCTGGATAGGCCTTGAACTTTAAATTCTCCTGACTTCCACAGAGCTGGAGATACAGATTTCACCATCAGGCATTTTACCTAGATACCCATGGTCTTATAAAAATCCCTCTAGTGGTGGGTGGTAGTGGCATATGCCTTTAATTCCAGCAGTTGGAAGCTCTGTGAGTTGGAGGCCAGCCTGGTCTACAGAGTGAGTTCCAGGACAGCCAGGGCTACACTGAAAACCAAAACCAAAATAAAGCAAAACCTCCTGCAGTGAAAAGGGGTCATGACAAGATCTCCTGAGTAAACTGGGAGCCTGGGGACCATGGGAGAGGGTTGAGGGGAGGGGAGAGGCAGGGAGAGGAGCAGAGAAAAATATACAGCTCAATAAAATAAATATAAATTAAAAAAAGAAAAGGGGTCATGAGTGGAAAAGTTTAAGAAGTCCTGCTGTAGAGCTATACTAAAGAACCAAGGCTTGAGAGACCCAAATGCTTACAAAGCATTGGGCAGCTTTGTAAGGTGCTAAGTATATACCAAGTTCTTACCGTGCTCTGCTATTTGAATATAGTTTCACGGTCTTTGTCCAAAGAGAGTTTATGGCTTAGAGCTGTCCTGGAAGCTGAACATTTGAGTCCTAGAAGACCACAAAGGAAGGAGTTCACCTTGTGTGGCAGTCACACATGGAAGGCTACGTGGAGGGTGGTGTTTGGGCTAGACCTTAAAATAAACCTCTTATTTTAATCTCTCTCCTGCTTGCTTGATATTTTCTGTATCCTTTTTAAATTTTAGGAATTTTGTTGTCTCTCCTGCATGCTTCTAAATTGGTAAATGGTCTTCCTTCCTTCCTTCCTTCCTTCCTTCCTTCCTTCCTTCCTTCCTTCTTGCTTGCTTGCTTTTTTTGATAGAGTCTCAGTCTCTACCTTAACTGGCTGCCCTTGAATTCAAGAACCTTATGCCTCAGCCGCCTATGTTCTGAGAGTACATGTTTGAACTACCACATCTGGTTTTGCTTACTTCATTCTTTTTGAAAATAAAATAAAATTTAAATGTGTGTGTGTGTGTGTGTGTGCGCGCACGCGCTTGTAGAGGTCAGAGGACAGCTTGTAAGAGTACTGTTTTTCCCTTCGGTCATGCAAATCTTGATGTATGGAACTCAGGTTGTCAGGTTTGGCAGTGGCAAATGCCACAAAATACCCAAAAATCCATTGAGCTCTCTCCCTAGCCCTACTTTATTCTTATAACCAAACAAACAAATAAAAACTCTCTGCTTTGCTTTCAGGACAGACCAGAAACAGGAAAGGCCATCTGTTCTGATGAGTATTATGGCAACTTGTCACAAGCTAGAGTCATTTGGGAAGAGGGAAATTCAACTGAGAAAATGCACCTACCAGATTGGCTTGTGGTGCATTTTCTTGATGGATGATTGGTGAGGGAGTGTCCATCTCACTGTGAATGGTGCCATTTCTGGGCTAGTGGTCCTGGGTACTATTAGAAAGCAGGTTGAGCCCAGTGGTGGTAGCAATGGCGCACACCTTTAATCCCGGCACTTGGGAGGCAGAGGCAGGTGGGTCTTTGTTGAGTTTGAGGCCAGCCTGGTCTACAGAAGGAGTTCCAGGACAACAGTCAGGACTGTTACACAAAGAAAACCTGTCTCGAAAACAAAACAAAGCAGGTTGAGCAAGCACAAAGAAATGCCAGTAAGCGGTGTTCCTCTGTGACCTCTGCTTCAGGTCCTGCCTCCAGGTTCTTTCCTTGAGTTCTTGCCTTGATTTTCTTCAATGATGAACTGTGATGTGTGAGTATAAAGGAAATAAACTCTTTCCTTCCCAAGTTGAGCTTTGTCATGGTGTTTTGAAACCCAAAAGAAGACACCATCTACTGACCTTTTATTTGTCTTATTTTTATATTTATTTGTATATATTTATTTGTTCATTGTCCATCCCTCCCCATCCACTCTCCAATAGAAAATTGCCTCAAGGATACAGGTTTTGTATGTCTTAGCATTTAATCATTAGCAACAGACAGTGCCCAATACTGAATTATAAACATGTGTTGACAACTGGGCCAACCTAGGTTAATGTTTATGTAATAATAGAAGCAAGAGGCCCCGGTTTCGGTTCCAAGAATTGGAGGACAGGCAATCACGCCTCCACTTCCCTGCCTTTGGAATGAAAGATATCTGTTTCTGCTTCTGTTTGTCCCCTCATTTGTCACAAGCATTTTATTGCATAGCTGCTCTCTGGCTGACACTATACTGGGTTATAGCTGATGCAGCATGAACGATATGGAAATAATACCTATCTTAAACGAGTTTAAATTCCCAGGAGAAAGATGGCAAGGAGACGACAATTGTAAAGCACCGTGATCAGTTCTGTAGGTTCACAGTAGAACCACCTTACCCATTATGTGGATGAGATTAAAGAAGGCATTCCCTGATATGGGGATTACAGGCATTTCCAGCTCAGACAGGAACCATTATGCTAAGATCTCAGAGGTGGCAGGTTCCAGGACTGATAGCAACTGTTTGAGGTGAAAATAGCAGGTGGCAGACAGAGATGCTTGGGAACTGAAGATGGCTCCTTAAAATGAATCTGACTAGGAGGATATCAAAATCATCAGCGGCTTGGTGAAGACCGAAGCTTTCCCATTTCATAACGTGGTATGATGACTTCCCAGAGAAGCATAGCTAAAATGGAGACACTCACCCATCGCTCTAGGTGTAAATTCTCCCCAGCTGTCTGGAGAAACTACATCTCGACCCCACCCCCCACCTCCCTAGCTGTGGCCGGAATCCTTTTAACCCTGACATTTCCTCTGGGGGGACCTGAACAAGCCTATAGCTTCTTCCTTTTGAGAGGCCCTTCAAAAAAATCTAAGCATTTTCTTCTTATCCGAATACGCCTTCCTTCTTTCCAGATCTCCCCCAGGTCCGTAATCAGAAAGTAGATAACGATTACTTGTTGACGAATGAATCACAGAAGGTGTTGCCTAAAGAAAACATCTCCTGAGTCCATACTCACCGTGTGCCTACAGTGAAGGAGGGAAAAATAAGTAGAGAATCTGTGTGATTCTAAGCCTGACGAAGTTTTCGGTTTATTTTACTATTACTCTCATTTATTTATTTTTAAGAAAATCCCTTTCACTGTTCAAAAGTGACCCTCCCCTTCTCTTCTGAAGACGTGTCTCCTCCAAACTACAAGTCCCACAAGGCTCAGCGCCAACGGTCACCATCTTGACACACCTTAGCGCGCACGTCGGCGGCAGAGAGAGCGTTTGGGGAGAAGAAGCCCCGCCTCATTGTAGTTCATTGGCCAAAGGCGCCATCAGCGGGCTCAGCGGTTGGCTACTGCGCCCGCCCGTCCACCGCGTCGATCGGGGTCAGAGTGCGCGGAGGTGAGTCGGTGTGTTGTGGACTCGTGGTGCTGGCTGCCGCTGTTGAGGCGGCCTGGAACGGGCTGTGGGGACCGGGCGGAGCTGGCTCTGCCTCTGCCTGGTCAGCGCCGCAGGCGGCGCGGGCCGTGCCCGCTGCCGTCAACTGCCCCAAGCGCCTGCTGAGGCCGAGGGAGACGTCGGGGCCTGCACCTGGAGAGAGCCTGCCGCGCTGGCCCGGAGGAGGGGGCGTTGCCATGGCGACAGCCTCTCCGGCAGCTGACGGGGGACGGGGGCGGCCCTGGGAAGGAGGGCTGGTCTCCTGGCCCCCTGCCCCTCCCCTTACGCTCCCTTGGACCTGGATGGGCCCGAACTGGGGGCAACACCCTGGGGTGGGTGAGATTGAGAGGGCCCCTAGCTTGGGCCCTGGTTAGTGCATGTGGGGTGTGGGTCGTGGCGCGCACACTTCACGCAGCCTGGAATGCTGGCCCGTGTGCTCACCCTGGGTGCATGTTCTAACTTGGCGAAGGGGGAGCTGGGGGTGGAGCTGGGCTTTGCGAGATAGGTGGGATGAGTTGATGAAGGGGCCTAACTTGAGATTACTGGAGAAGAAGGGAGATTTGACCAGAGAAAATAGAAATAGAATAAGGAATTAGTAGATATATAGAGTACCCTCTCCGCATCCCAGAACACACGTTAGCACTTTACTTCCTTGTAAGTCCCAAGCTATGGGTAATGATGGTGGTCAGAATGAAGAAAGGGCCTTAATCCGGTAGTTTTTTGCATGCTTTTATTGCAAATGGCCCAGCAACAGGTGTTTTCTTAAAACAAAGCATGATTTGGGATGTTGGATGTTGACCTGGAAGATGCTGGATATGGGGTCCCTCATCTGGGGATGAGGATTTTGCAGTGACTAGGACCAACAATTGTCTCTGACCATTTTTATGCATGCATTTGCTAGTGCGTTTCATCGGGTTTCCAGTGTTAAGGGCAGCAAAACATGAATCCCATTGACTAAAGACTATATTCTATTTGACTGTAGTAGGTTGTGATTGGCTGAATGATTTTTGACTGTGGAGTTTGTACCAGAAACTGGCTTCATCAAATTCAGCTTTATTCTGACTTTATCATACACAGTAGACCTTGTTTTAGTGGGCTCGTTCTTGGACCTCAAGTATATTATACTTGAATCCCCTACCATTTAAAAGCCAATTTATAAACAGTGATTTGGAGTGTGACTCCACTAATGTGTGCCTGTGATCTTGGTTAGAAAGCCACTTGGTTGACTGTTGGCAGGTGCCGGATGGGGGAAGGGAGCTGCCTGGAGGTGATTGATAAGGTTCCTTTATGGATTCTGTGGTGCTTCATTGGAGCTCAGAGCACTTTGGCAACTTAAGCACTCCAAATTCAAAGATCATTAACAATTCCTGCCCCAAGATCATGCAGATAATCAGCTAGCTAGGTCACAGAGCTTGCCTAAGAGCTCTCCCTCAAACTTGAAATTTCCAAATAAAAGTGCTTTGATTCCATTTCATTTTTGGAAAGTTTACTTTGTTATGGGATAAGTTGGGGAGTGGCCTGTTCCCAGAGGGATCAGGATAGAATCAAGTCTTAAGTGTGTGGAATGGCAGACAGGAATATATTGGTTCCAATCATAGATGTTTGTGCACAGGGTTTCACTGTCTTAAAAGATCATGTCTGTGATTTCTTGTCCTGAAGAATATCTGAAGTAGGTGATAATATGATAGATATTCCTTGATACTTTTAAAAAATTGTTATTTTTTAGATGGTCTTGATGTATAGCCCTGGTTGGCCCCTCCTCATGTGCCACCTATGCTTAGCTTCCTTGATGTGTTGATTTAGGGTTTGGCTAGCTTGACTTTCTTAGAATTTAAGGCCAACTTGGAAGTATTTTGAAAGTATTTCCTGATCTGTGTTTCTGTTTCAGTTACTGCCTATAGGTTTGTAGCAATGAACCCTTCTCTTCAGTCTTGGCTCAGCCACAGTTCCTGAGTTCTTAATACTGCTAGTCTTGTGTCCTTGTCTGATAGGATCCTGAAATTATCCAGTGAGCCATTGCTTCATGAACATCTTTCTTAGTTGAGGCTCAGATATTATGAATATTTATTTCTAGAAAATAAACTTCCTTAGAAAGAACAATATATCAGAGAACATGTGAAATTCATAATTCATATATATACACACTCATATATATGTGTACTACACACCTATATATACATATATACACACATACATATATATGGGTATAATATATATATGTATGTATCAGTCAATAGCATCTGAAAGGTCTGTAGTATCATTGTCTTTGCACAGAGATAGCTATATTCCAAAGTTTGAATTTATGAGTTTGAGAGTGACCCTTAATGAGAATTTAAACCCTTGAATTGAAATATACCTGTTGCAGAGATATGTGTTTGTCCACAGCATTGGGGCTTTCCAGCTCTCACAGAGCCTTCAGTGTCTCCAGCTGCCAGTCTTGGCATCTTCGAAGTAAGGAGAGGTGAGAATCCTGTTGCATGATCTCATTTGGTGTCTGACTGTTTGGGTGTGGTGGGTATGTGATGGGGCTTGGTGCAGATTGCATTTTTCTGTAGCTTCTGATAAAGTAGCATGTGCTCAAGTTTCCTGCAACTGAAATAGACCACAGTCTTTAGAGTAAGAGTTGGAGATGAATGATCTAGACTGTAGACTTTCCAGTTCTGTCATGATTTGCTTTTTTTTTTTTTCTCAGTGCTAGAGAATGTACGTCAGTACCAGGATCTTGCAACATGCTAGGCAAGCATGCTATCACTGAACAAAATTCCTAGTCTTTCTCCCCTCCCCGCTTCTCTCCTCTCTTTCTCTCCTTCTCTCTCTCTCTCTCTCTCTCTCTCTCTCTCTCTCCTTTTTTAAAATTTACATTTGATCTTAACTAAATTGCCCATACTGGCCTCAGACCGGTAATGCTTCTGTGTTAGACTCTGCCTGGTAGCTGGGATTATAAGCATGGACTACTGTGCCTAGCCTTGATTTCTTTGATAGACACCTCATGAGTACCTCACCTTTAGGGTAATTGAGTAGAGCTGGAATAGCCCTATATTCTGAGACATATTCATTGTAATTCAACCGTAAGACCACCTCACATGTAACTCTTGTGATATATTTGGGTTTGAGTTGTGTGTCACCTTTGAGCAAATGGCTGGTGAGTTCCCACCTCCTTCCACCTGGAATTGGAAGTCATTTGTTCAATAACTAGGACCCAGACATTTAGCTAGTTGCTCGGATTACAGTAGTAAACAAGACTGCCCATGATATTCAAAAACTTTCAGATCCATAAGAGAGACCAATAGTAATGCAACAGTTATGATACACCCAATAGTACTAAAGTAAGGGACCTAGGTTGTCTGGGTCTACAGGAGTGACCCTAACCTGGACTTGTAGACTCTGGCATGGCTTCTCAGAGGAATCAGCCTCCTTATTTAGAATTAAACACATGAGGGACCAAGTGTCAGAGCTTTGTTGAGTTTGAGGAAGGTCAGTGTAATTGAAAGGCAGGTGGGGAGTGAGGCAGGAAAGCTGAGCAGAGGCTCGGGCCTTAGAAACTGGTGAGATGGTGTTGGGAGGTGGGCAGGTTGGGGCAGTTAAAAAGACTAAACATTAGCAAGCTTTTCTAGAAAGGACAGGAATAGATATTGACGCTTTGTGACTCCTTTACAGCTGTACAGCTTGTAGTGAGCATTTCAGCAGCTGTGGATGCTGTGAAAGTGGAAATGACTGTGTTCTAGTAAAACTTTATTTATAAAAGTGGGTGGCAGCTGGATTTGGCCCATGGACCATTGTTTGCCGATCTCTAGAACAGTAAGAAGCCACTGAAAGATTGTAAGTGGCTCAGGGTGGTTGTATACGCCTGTATTTAGGAGGCTAAGGTAGGAGAATCGCTAATTCATTCAAGGCAAACCTGTGTTGCAAAGCAAAACAGTAAGAAAAAGGAAAATATGAAGATTATAATTAGAGGTTTTATGTTGTAGAAAACTTGTTTTGCTATCAGTATGAAGAATGGATTGAAGGGGCAGATAAAACTGGAAGCAGAGAGAACAGTCAAGAGTCGGGGGTAGCAGTTTTATTCCCCTTAAGGACCACATCAAGTATAATTGAGCTCGTGTGTGTGTGTGTGTGTTAGTATTTATTCTCTTTACTAATTTCATGTCTTTCTAATGACATCTAATGACACTTAAAAGGTGTCTATTAGAGAATGTCTTGGAAATGCTAGCCAGCTACTATTTCACAGATTGGAAAAGAGAGAGTCAGCATACAATGAATTAAAATGGTTTTGGAAACTTTTTTTCTCCTGAAAGAGGTATGGCCTGAATGGAGCCCTTGGAGGGATCTTCATTTTAGGGATCCTTGCTGAATAGCTCACATTACTTGAGCTATATGCACAGAAACTGGTCTGCGTTCCTAAGCTTTCTAGGCAGTTGTCCTCATTTTGTGGGTTCTATTGGTCTATTCTTACCTTGCCTGTAGCAGATTGATAACCCATGCCTGATTTTGGAAATGTCTGCCATATCAACTGTGATGGTGTGTCTCAAGCAGGAAGCCAATAAATTTGTTTGTTGAGTGTGGAAAGTTTACAGTCAGAATGCCACTCTGTTTCCCGTGTTCTTCTGTGAGCGCCAGCATACTTGCAATGATGGAGGGAAGCCTGCAGATTTTTGATAGTGGTATATCTGGACCTTGGTCAAGCCACTTACCTCTCTGAGTTTCACTTTACTGTCTAAAATGGAGATAGTGGGATTTAATAGCACTGTTTAAAGGCTTTAATGATGTAGAGGAAACTCTTAGTAGTGCATTAATACTGTTTTTTTTCTTTGTTTTAATTTTTAAACAGGCTCTCACTGTGACTGGTCTGGAATTCTGTATGTGGACTAGGCTAGCCTCGATCTCCTAGAGATCTGTCTGCCTTTGCCTCCCAAGTGCCATGATTGAAGGCGGGAGCTACTACTAATATTCTGCCCAAAAGAAGGAAGTAGTTGGCTGATAGGAATTTTGGCTTCTTAAGCTTTGTGCTCGCACAGTTTCCTTGTGTCCACATGGTAAAAGCTCAGCCGATCTACAGCTGGCAGCTGTAACTAAAGCAAGGCATGAATTTTCACTGTGGAAAATTCGCACATCGTAGGAGTTCCCTAGACTACACGCCATGAGTAAATTGTGGAACTTTAGGATTAAGCAGCTTCCCAAGACTCACCCTTGTTACTAGCCTTCCTCCCTGTTCGGGATCATTTATTAGTGTTGCCACAGTACTGACTCCACATCTCTGTGAAGTGCCTCTTCAGTGATTTTGTTACTTTTCCCTCCCACTCAGGGAAATGAGCCATGTGGTCTGTTTTGGTTTTCTTGCTACCAAAGAAGGTTAAATTGAGTTGCCCAAGATCACAGTGTAAGGGACTGTTAAAGCTAGTGCAGACTTGCCTCCAGATGAAATTGTGCAAGTTGATTGCTGTGATTTCTCTTCCCTTGAGTGAGAGATGCATAGTCATTGTAGAGTGTGTTGATGCTTCATCCATTCTGCTAGACTTTATTTGAATCCTGCTTTATTTATTTGGTTCTGTTGGGTTTTAATTGATGATTTTGAGGGCCAGAGCTGTTGAGAAGCAGATTCCCTTTGGGTTGTTGTTTTAGCTTCTTCCTCCTTTGGGGTCCATTCCTTGGGGAGCCTTGGGTTAGAAGGGATTGCTTTGATATGTTCAAAATTGTGCCTTGTGCCCCACAGCTACAGGTAAAATCAAAAGGCAGATAATTTATGGGAGTGTCAAAGCTGGCCGCTGGCACCTTAGAAGGCCATTAGTATGCCTGTTCAGACCCTCTGTGTCCTTGCGATTGATTCCTCTTTGCATGAGTCTGATTTGGGAAGCTGTAGATCTGTGTGTAGTGATTGGATGTGACAGTCCAAACACCGGACCCTAAATTAATCCTTTTAATAGTATTCCGGCACCAAGGCAATATTCTCTCTCTCTCTCTCTCTCTCTCTCTCTCTCTCTCTCTCTTTCTCTCCCTCCCCCTCCCCGTCCCTCCCTCCCTCCCTCCCTTTCTCTCTCTGAGTAAGAATGTTTGAGCTGTGAGAATGTCAGAAAGGAAAAGAAGGGGTGGAAGGAAGCTAGCTAGCTTTGTTTGGCTGTGCTCTGTCTAGCATGTTCTACTTCTGGAGTAGTTGGCACCATGACTTTGGGGATATGATTCATTTAGTGAGTCTTCACTTTCTTAATTGTGCCCGATTATGTGCTGGGAGTAAAAGAAATGAGTAAAATATAGTTGTTGCTTTTAAGAAACCAACTCTGTTTCCAGATTTCTAGAACTCGTGTACCATTTAGATTAAAACGCAGTGCTCCTCTTTGAAGCTGTGTGAAAATCTGAAATGCATGAAAGTGCCTAACAAGAAAATAAAGAGTTATAAGATATGCTTTTTATGTACACATGGATGCCTCTTTTTACATGCACATGTATGCAGAGCTCTGTTGCTACCCTCTGTCCTTCTTCACGGAGTCTTTGAAAATTGTTAATAGCAGAAGAGACAGGTACTTAGTGTGTCACCATATATTGAGATGATAAGTCATGATGTTAGAATAAACTGTGCTACTGGGTCACATGGAAACCATTGACTTTATCATGGGGTGTCAAAGAAATATACAAAAAGGTGGGGTTTAGCTGGGTTTCAAAGAAAGTGTTAATATGCTGGTGAAAAATATCAGTGCTTTCCAAAGCAGAGGGAGCAGCATTTGCCAAGGCCCAGATTTGTAGAAGGATATGCCACATTTGGGGACTTCTGACTGTGCCTCTACCTCCTTAGAGTTTCTCACTCTGTAAGGTGGGGAGAGTCACACCTCTGGGCTTGTGTATGAGAAGAGGCTTGGAGGCCCTTGTACTGCACTGCAGTTATTTTAATTCAAGGTGCCCCTAACTGTTGCTGCTTTGTGCTCAAGTTGAAGTGTATTTTTTTTTTTTTTTTTGAGACAGGGTTTCTCCATGTAGCTCTGGCTGTCCTGGAACTTAATCTTAGACGAGGCTGGCCTTTAAAGATTCACATGCCTCTGCCTCCTGAGTGCTGGGATTAAAGACGTATGCCTAGCTGAAGTGTATTTCTAAAAAATTAAACACCTCTCTCTCGATGTACACATACAAAATCTGGATAGTTTAGATTTCTTTATTGTTCAAGGCTAAGTTATATTTTTCTTAAAAATCCCACCTTACCTCAGAGGACTAATTGAAGGTGATATGAATTATTAGTGCTGTGAAATCAGGTAGGGACATGAGCCCCTGAATGTGGAAAAGGAAAATAGAGCCCCAGTTTCCTCGTGTATAAGATAGGAATGCAGTTGCTATTTTACATGATTGTTAGAGGATTAAATGAGGCAAAATATGCAACTTACTAGCACAGTGCCTGACTTATAATAGGTTTCATTTTTCTTTCTTTGTTCTCATGTGTTGACAATAACTCCCTTTTACTGAGCCTATACTAGTGTGCAG